ACTGATGGCTGGTACTATTGTGCATTAGACTCTCTTGAGTCATAACAGACCCATCATACAGCTGAGCTGCCAGGTTGGATCACCTGATAGTTCCCATCTGGTGAATATCTGGCCTAGACCAGAATGCCTGTCTCCCTTCACTACCATATAGTAACTAAGTGGGCTTTAATATGCTATCCTCAAGAATATTTTGTCCCTGACTGCTTTCCTGCTTCTCCTAGGAACAAGATCCTAATATTTGGTCTCTTTGAGGAGACTGCTTTAGCTGCTTTTCTGTCCTACTGTCCTGGGATGGATGTTGCTCTAAGGATGTACCCTCTCAAGTAAGTTGCATCTTGCTGCTTGTGCAACAGGCTGCACCACAGAACAATAGTGTTAAGTGGAGAAATTACTAAGAGTACTTATAGGCTTATAGAACATGAAACCAACTCTTAACACAGAAGAACTCAGGCTAGAGGGAATGAGTGAACTTCTGTTACGGTGTGACACCCTGGAGATTTGCTTTCCTTTACTGCCTGTGGAATACTTAAGGGGCACTGAACTGCAAACTCTCCCTTAATAACTAGCAGCATAACCTCTATATTAGTATTGTGGTGCAGCTACTCTTGTACTTATATGGTAGTATTCTGAGGGGTGAGGGACTGCACCTCCAAAGAAAGCAATTCAGTTGGCTAGAAAACATAAGCCAAGTATCTCTTCTTTACTAAATGGTCATGACATTTTGTGCCTTCCAAAGAATTTGCACAAAGTCTTCTGAAACAGGCTACACTGTAAGTGTAGATGGATCAGTTAATGCGTAGTAACTTTCCTAATGGTTGAGAGAGTGCCAGCATCTTGACTGTTGCCCAACAGCATTGCAAAACTTCATGGCAGGGTTTAGTATTGAACAAACTTTGAACAGTTCTGTCACTAACTTTCGTGAAATCCTGATGGCAAAAACTCCTGGTATGTTTTGTGTTCCATTCAGAAGTGTTGTTCGGAGTTTGAAGTGTTAGCATTTCCTAATAAGAAAGCTGGCATCTGCCCAGTGCCTGTGGCAGCTGGATGATAACACTTATAAGTCATAAGGGAAACCAGTGCAGTTTGAGCAAGGCCATGGGTACAAAGGTTACATGTACTGAGAGGAAATGTAGCTGGATTAGTAGGTGGGGAGATGCTGGTACAGAGATGAACAAAAATGCTGTGACCCACCTTGTCTTGGAATGAATATCCAAAAGTGGATTAACCTATTGCAGCAAGAAGGTGGTAATTCTTGGCCTGAAGGGTTCTCACTGAACCACAGTCTTGTGGGAATGGGGATGCTGGCAAGCTGATGCTTGCCTGCCTTCAAGATCTACATTCTTCTGTGCCATCGTTTCATAGCTCTGCTAGGCAAAGAGTGTCTCCATTGTCTGTGTTTTCACTGTTTCTTCTCCCAAACAGGCCAACTTGGTGGTTCTGTGCCTTCCCGTACTCCCTCCTTATATTCCTCTATGATGAAATCAGAAAGCTCATTATCAGACGCAACCCTGGTGGTAAGCATGTGTTGTTGGTCTGTTTCTTTCCCCACCTCTCCTTCTCAGGGACCCCCTGGTACTGAGCACCACATAAGGATGTATAGCTGTTTTCCCTTCTTTGCCCGGCTGCTTATTCTGCAGTAGGCTGCAAGGCAGTTCTTTCCACCTTGGAGGCTTGCTAGCATGTTTCCAACACGAAGTGTGGTTGGTTCAAATTCAGGACTCTGTCCTTCTCTGTGTCTTCCTTGAGTATATGAAAGTATCAATACACTGAACTAAGTGGAAAGACCAATTCTTGGGTGGTTTTAGGAATTCAGAACAAGACTTGAAAGCTGCATCACCTGAATGATCTGGAAAGGGTTTCTGTTATGTGACCAGGTCCCTTTCTAGCACAGGATTACAGTGCAAGTTTTCAGAGCCTGAAAGTAGCTGTTGTGAACTATGCTCTGTCAGCATTAAGACTAACTCCTCCTTACTTTTCCTTTTAGGTTGGGTGGAAAGAGAGACCTACTACTAAAAAGCGCCTGTAGAGCATTCCACGCACAGCCCACACCACCTCTCCATCTCCTCTGTGTGTGTGTGTGTACTTCATCTTTGCAAGTGCAGAATTGGACCTGAAACTGAAGGAAGCATGAAGAAACATGGACTGGAGGAGAAAGCAAGGGGGAGGAACAGGGTGGGGGGGGAAGTGTCAGACCATCAGTCCATGGAGGTTAGAGATTGAGTAGGCCTTTGCTTTTGTAAAAGGAAACAGAAGATTTTATATATGGATTTTTACGAATAAAGATGGATTATAAGAGGATGCCCCCATATTGTTGTAGGCAGATGTTTTTCCTCAAGGCATAAACTGGTTCAGGGGTGTGGTGCTAACACTATATGCTTTTAGTCCTTGGCTTCCCATTTTTTATAGCTGGAGACAGCATGTGAAGCTTTCATGCTGTAGCTCACTGCCTGACAGGACAAACTCTTGCAACCAGTTGCATGTCAGTACCTTAAGCACGGGAACCTTCCTGGTCTCTGTAACTGTGTATCTTGGCTGCTTTCTGGAAGGAACTTCTGTCCTCTATCTCTAGCATCAAATGCAAAATCCTGGAGGCTAAGTAACTGCTCTGGCTCTGACCTGCTTGCTGGGTTTAGAATGGGGCATGTTGCATGCACTTGTTGGTCGGAGCATGTACCAGCATGCTGCTTGCCCCACTGCTACAGGCTTTGTGTCTCAGTGGAGTTAGACTCATTACCAGCTTCATGCCCTACCTATCTTGCAAAGCTTTCTATTTCCCTCTCTTGGGTTTGTTCTGTTCTCAGAGCTGTCTAGTCCTAGCTCTCAATGTTTCTTCCTCTGAGTAGACTGAGAATGTGGAAGAAGTCATACTCTCAATATTTCAATTAGGGCAAAATTGCAAGCCTCATCATGATGGTTTGAGTAAAGCATTACTGTTATAAGACACTACTTGTCTGAGCTTTGAGCTGGAGTGGGTTGTGCTGTTCCACTCTGGATTTCCAGCTATTTGCCATATATTTTGATATAAGTGTTAATGCTTGTATGGTTTGCTGCTGAGACCTCAGTGGGAGGTGTGACCTTTTGCACATGGACAGTGTCAGCATCTTGGGTCTTTAACTTCATGTTACTTCTGTCATTGTGCTTAAGCCATGTGAAGGTTCTTCTGGCTCTCTGTCATATTCCTGAACTGCTGGTTCTGTTGGATATGCATCTGCCTCTGCAAAGAGTTGCAGTAAACCACAGCACTGAAAGGATCTGTGGTTAAAACTTGTGTGTTTTCATCATCTTTCCTGGCTTTTTTCTTGTTTTAAAGCTCAATCACTTATCTCCTGTACACTATAGACTTGCGAGCAGCTCTGAGAGTACAAAAGGAAGTTAGGGAGGTAGACAGTAAGAAGCTGAAAGTGGAATGGTGTAATTTGTCTTAGATAATCTAATGTGGAACCCTTAATTGAAGATTATGTACAGGGAGGGGAAAAAAAAGTCCTCAATCTGTCTGAGTCTACCCACGCCAACAGTGGAATTGATGCAATCGTGGCCGAAGTGATCCTAGCTGGAAACTGGGAGATGAGCTGTACTAAAGGGAGGGAGGAAGAAGGGGGATCTCTTGCTGGCTCTGCTGATGATGGAGCAATGAGGCAGAAATGACACTTGCTCCATCCACATGTTGCACCTGCTTGAACTTCTTGGTTAGTCCCCGAGACTTCCTCGGAGTCCTATTACAAAGAAATTGCAAAATGTGCCTTGCTGTCTGATGCTGTCAAAAATAAAGAAGGAACCTGTTCTTCCTTCCCTGGTGTTTCAGCATTCAACACCTTGAAGAGTGGGACTCTCAATAAAACATGTAGGTGAGAAGGGACGACTGGAGGTTTGGCTATTGATTAATGCACACTTAGATCAGTGTGTGGTCAGATTGGCATTGTTGAGCTGAGGTATGAATATCTACAAGTAGGATGGAGGCTGGACACCACCAGTCCAGGGGCTATCTTGGGTTCCCTGCTCTCTTGTTCGTCAAGTCCTAATTGTGAGCTCCTGAAAGAAAGCTGCTCTGGAGCCAAGCATAGAGCAACCACTGGTTAATGTGACCTTCCAGTACTTGAAGGGAGCAAATAAACAGGAGGGGGAAGGCTGCTTATAAGGGTGGATAGTGATAGGACAAGGGGGAATGTTTTTGAACTGAGACGGGAGGTTTAGGTTAGATATTAGGAGGAAGTTTTTCACACACAGGGTGGTAGCCCAAGGAGGTTGTGGATGCCTCGTCCCTGGAGGCTCTGTGCAGCCTGGTCTGGTGGTTGGTGACCCTGTACGTAGCAGGGGAATTAAAATTAGATGATCATTGTGGTCCTATTCAACCCAGGCCATTCTATGATGCTAAAGGAAAGCTTCAGGGGCTAAAATTATGAAATGGCACCAATGACAGAGTATAGATTTTAGGCTAAAAGGTAGAGCTGGCCTCTACACTTTTCTAATCTAACTTTGGAGATGTGGTTCTTGGAGGTCATGAAACTGCCTGAATGAGGCCAGATGCAGCCCTTCCCTCCACAGTATAGAAACAAAGAGGATCTCAATGCAAGTTCCTTCCAGCAGTTTTCCCCATGCAGAGGCTAATGTAGCAGTAGTATCAAGTACAGTCAGCATCCGTTGCTGGGAATGCATAGCCACTGCCACACCAAAGGCAGAGGCACAGCGCTGCTCTCTGCTAGGCAGAGCAACAGCTGAGGTCTCATGGTGTCTAGCATAAGATCTGTAAGAGTAGTGTTACCTTATCCCCTGTGATTTTCTGCTCTAAGGGCTCTATGCTGTTAGAATGTACAGCCCACAGTAACCAGGTTCTTAAAGCCTTCAGAAAGGTTTCCTGGTCAGGACTGGTTTAGACGGGGAGTGACTGAAATAGAGGGTTTGATGGCGTTCTACCCATGTGCTGAAGCAGTGCTGGTTCCTTCAGCAGAGGGCCAGACTTTCTCATGGATGTTCTCATTTTGTGACCCTGAGGTCACGGTGGGTGTGCTCGGATAGAATGACCATTGTGAAGGTGATGTGGGCTACGTCACAGAGGACTGGGCACCAGTCGGAGGGTGCAGCTTGGAGCACTCCTGCTGAGCTTAGAGCATCAGAGGACATCATGCCAGCTGGCCCCTGTGAGATTTCAACACAATGCTCCATCCACAAGGTATTTCTACCTCGCTTGGTCACTCCAGTCCCACACGGCTTTGACTCAACACTCTCCTGTGTGCCCCTAAGAGGCTGCCTTGCAGCCCACCAGGGATTTTGTGACACCCGCTCAGCCACCCCACTGCATACAGAAGTTTTGGCTGACTGTGGTAAGGGCATGCTCCACCTTAGGAGGGAGGTGAAAGCCTAGCTGGAAACAACCTGAGTCTGCTGCACTGGTGCCAGGCACGGAGGTTTAACTGGTGGCAGGTGGGCTGGGCGCAGGTCTGGCACAAACAGCAGGAGCTGGAGCACCTTGAGTGCTGCTGGCAGCCAGCTCTGCGTCTTGGCACTGCCTGCAATGTTTTGTCACTGTGTTGGGCCCTGGCCACAGACAAGTTTTTGTTCTGCCCTTTTTCACGCAACTTATCAGCTCTGGGGCTCCCTTCTGTTTCCTGCTCTGGAGCTGGAAGCTTCCCAAGACGTGCTGCTATGTGCTGTCTCCTCTGTGGTGGCTTGCTTACAGGAGCTGGTTTGGAGACCAGCTCCAATCTTAAAAATGGTCAGACCCATCCTTGAGCGAGGGAGGATTTGTTGGAGCAAATGTCTGCTTGGCAATCCTTGCACTGGGTGATCCAAAAGGCCTGCATAGCACTCACCACATGGCTGAGCTCACCATGTGGCTGACTCTCCTTCCACCCTCAGATGCACTTCTGGTGGCAACAACCTCTCCTTTATGTCTACAAGATGTTGCATGAGATGCCTGTAACTCACCCCCTCTCTGTCGGCACAGGGGTCCCAAAATAGTAACAGTTGCTGGGAAGATGGGTGCAGGAGGGTTGCCAGAGGGCAAAGTTCATTAAGAGCGAAAAAATGAACTAACAGGACATGTTCCTCAACTCCATGCCTCAATGACCAGGCATCTTTCTGCCAGACCTGACCATGGGCAGCTTCACAGCTCTCTGATGACTCCATGGCATGAAAATGAGAAGAGGCTCAAACACCCCCCTCCAACCTATTCAGCCTTTGGACTAGCCAAAGCATGGAGCAGATTAACCCCAATTAGGTGGAGGTGTATAAAAGACTACCACAGAGCACTCAGCCCTTCAGATGGGCACCTTAGGCAGTGGTGTCAGGGAAGCTGACAGGCAAGCAGGCAGCTCCAGCTCAACATCTCCCAAGTTGTGTGGATGCTCAGGACCCACCGTTGCTCTATTTCTTGAACTGTGCCTGCTTCAGGCATTGCTCTTTTCCTCTGCTCATTACCAGGCTCCAGAGCCCCTCCTCCATCTTATTCCATGTGCCCCTGGGCTCTGCTGAAGAAGAGTGTGGTGGAGGGTCCATGTTTATGGAGGGATGCACTTAGAAACATAAAATCAGAATCATAAAGTCTGGAAAAGACCTCTAAGATTATCAAGTCAACCCATCCCTACCATGCTCACTAACCATGTCCTTCAGGATGCTGACTGCACCACATCCCTGGGCAGCCTGTGCCACTGCCTCACCACTCTTTCTGAGAAGACATTTCCTAATATATACCCAACCCAAACCTCTCCTGGTTCAACTTGAGGCCATTTCCTCTCATCCTATCACTAGTTACCTGAGAGCAGATGCTTCCCTCCCCATCTCTTTCATCACACTCATCTTTCCTCCTGTGAGATCATCCGTCTCCTGACTTCTTTCTTCTGTTTTCCCCAAACACAGCAACACCTTCACCCATGTAACCTTTTGAACCCCTGACTCCTCCAAGGGCTGGAAAGCAAATATAGCGAGTTTGCCCAGCTCTCACAACAGCAGCATTGGTGTCTCATTTCTGTCGTTCCTTTCGCTTTAAATGGCCCCACATTTCCTCCAGGGTGCACACAGAGATTCCCTTCACTTCCAAGAGGTTTGCACTGCTGTCAGGCAAACAGCCAACTCAAACCGTCAGGGCTGGGAGGTTCAGTCAGGAGGCAGATACTGAAAATCCTCTCTCCAGTGAAAAGCCAGGAGAATTTTCCTACAGCAGCTGGAAAGAGCCACGCTTTCCTTGGGATCACAGGATGACGGTCTCTGTGTCGTGGAAAGTTTGTGTCACCCCTGTTGAGTCAGGAGTGTGATGCATGGAGTTTGAGTGGCCAGTGGGACAGTGACATGGGTTTGTGTTAAAGAAAAAAAGGATTCTTGACAGTGTTATCACTCATATGGGCCGAAACCCACAGCTGGCTGAAATCACGGTTAAGAAAAAGACATTGACTGCAATGGGCTTGGAGCAGCTGCAGGGAGTGAGTCCCAAGGTGAATTGTGAAACCAACACGCCTTCACTCCATTACAAGTTTGTTTTCTGTCAAGGGTTATTTGCCTTGGTCTTCGTACCTACCAAACACAGCATACTGCTTGCAGGTTTCACAGCGAGGCAGAGCCGGAGGCAGCAGGCAGTGTCCTTACAGGGATGCAGCTCCTCCCCCAGCCTGGATGTTTGACTGTGTGTCCTCATACCACTATGTCAGGTACCCTCCCCGAGCTGTGCTGGGATGCCATTCAGCTAGCCTGGGTTTCACACTGCCCCTCATACCCTGATTTGTACAGTAGCTGTCCATGAATGTATATCTCCTTCTCTCAGATATGATGGATAATATTGGTGGGAAGGTTCAACCTCTACTCCCATGCCACCAACATCTTGTCTCTGACAACATAGGCTGAGGGAATGGGGATTGTTAAGCCAGGAGGAGGCTCAGGGGAGACCTTATTACTCTCTCCAACTGCCAGAAAGGAAATAGTTTGGAGGAGGTTGGCCTCTTCTCCCAGGTAAAAGTGATAGGACAAGGGGGAATGGCTTCAAGTTGTACCAGGGAATGTTCAGGTTAGACATTAGGAAACATTTCTTCTCAGCAAGAATGGTGAGGCAGTAGCACAGGCTGCCCAGGGAGGTGGTGCAGTCACCATCCCTGGAGGTGTTCAAGATATGTAAAGATGTGGCACTGAGGGACATGATTATTGGGCATGGTGTGGAGGGGTCAATGGTTGGACTAGATGATCTTAGAGGTCTTTTCCAACCTTACTAATTCTGTGATTCTCTGATTCTACAACTTTTGGAGCAGCCCTGGTGTTAGGTGGTGAGGTTCTGATCATTTTCTTTTCAACTGCTGCCAATCTTCATTACTCAGCCTTATACACCTCATCTGGCTGAGGTAGGGTAACAGGACTTCATTTCTGTCCAGCTGGCCATATATGAACACCGCACAGAGTTTGTGCTGGCTTTGTCCCAAGTACAGGACAGGCAGCATCTTATCCTAAGATAGAACAGCCATAAAGATTAGCTGCACAGAGCTACCACCTAAAAAATTTAGAAAGAACAAGTTCTCTCATCTGCCTTTTGTATTGCATGGCTATGGTGTGTTTGATCTGATGTCAGGAATTGGGTTCACCACATCATCATCATCATCATCATCATCAGGCTACAGCCTGAGTTGGCTGCAAAGCTGTACTGTTTATTCTCTGATATCCCAGAGCCCCCCAGTCTTCTCCTTACTGCAGACCATGGAATAGGAAGGGGTCATCAGCACTGCTGGCATCCAGCACAATTGGTCAAAACAGTGACCACCTGGAAATACAGAAGCGATATGATAGGAAAGGAAATTTAACATCAGAATGAGCATCCTCAGGAGCTGCTGGGTAGGATCTATTTCTGTCACAGATAGATTAGTCAAGGCAGGATCCTTAATGCCTCCACTGGAGATGTCCAGGCATGTCTTATATAAATAAATATATATATATATGATATGTATATATATATTATAGCTACAGCTGCATAAATACAGCTACACAAATACTTGTTTGCCTGACCATTTCTTGGGCCTGAATAGGCTTGTCCCAGCATTGAGGCAGAGCACAGCAACTTCGGTGGGTCCTGCTCTCAGAAGCTGTGCCCTACAGGCTCTGGGTGTCCTCCAGTAGTGGTATGGGAAGGGTGCAGCAGCCCTCAGGGCCAGGAGCTGCACCCTGTGCTCAGAAACACAGAGGTATTTTGACCAACAGTTCATGGAGATAAGCTGAATTGTCAACTGCCCTGGGGAGCAGTTTAGGATGTGCCTTGTGGGGTCATAAATACATGATAGTCCCATAAGGGGAAAGCAAAGATTCCCAAGCTAGGTTTGGGAAAGGCATCCTAATGGAGTCAAGCATGAGGAGGGAGCACAGAAAAACCTTTTTTTTCCCCACAGCTTCGTTCATACCAAGCCTGGAACAGTAAAAGTGGCTCAGTACACCCCTCAATTTTGGGCTAACTTTTGTGGTGCAAACCTAACAAGGTCTGCCCCACACATCTTTTGCACCTATGGTGAGTCCCACCTTGGTGCACTGCTCCTGACACCACTTCTGATGCACCCTGAACAGTTGTGGTGCAGTCTTAGCACCTCACAGCTCGTATCCCCTCTCTTGCCAGCAAGGCAAGCCTGAGCAGGCTCCCTCCACTAAAAGCACTGTGGAGCAGACAGCTGTTGCTATAGATGGCGGGTTTTTGCTGCTCTGCAGGGAAAACTATGTCACCCTTGACCTAGGAGAGCAGAGCCAGCCAAACCACAGTCTTCCCTTGCACCACATCACTCCCAGCTCCTGGAGCTCCCCAAGGCTGTGTGCAGGGAATGCAGGAAGGGGGTGGCCACAGGAGGAGAAGGCGTTCTCAGACAAAGATCAGATCTCAGAACACTGTATCTGCACTCATTAGGAGGCAGTAAAGAAGCTGGGCAATCAGAGATAAGAGTGAGCAACATGCTGTTCCCAGACGGATGGCTTGCCCGCTGGTAAAAGTGGGGGGCACAGCCTGATGCATTCTTGACATTTTGTTCTCCCAACTGATGCCAGCTCAGTCCTTATCAGATATCTCCACGGTCAGTGATTTTTCACAGTGGATAACACCACCAAACTGCTTAGGAAAAAATAATAAACCTCTGTCCTGGGCAACTAAGCAGAATATTCCCATCCCGGCCTTCATATGGGGGTATTTGTGGTTTTACCTTTTCCACACTTCTCTACTTAACCTCTTCCCCACCATGCACTTTTATGGCCTCTTCCAACCTGAAGTTTCATGAACCTCAAAATGCCTTTGCTGCTGTTCCTCCTCTATGCCAAACCACATGGAACAGGGCTTGGTGTCACTGTGCTGTGCGAGAGGCACCCTCTGTGCTCTGCTCGGTGTTCAGTCCTTTGTTAAAGCAATATTTGGGAAGCTCAGTTATGTATGCTGAAGCCAGGGATGCAATCCCATTGCTTCCCTTTTGGTTCTGGGATAGTAAAGCTTTCCAGTGGGTTGTCTCACATGAGTGATGACAGTGACAAAAACATTCCCTCGAGTAACACATGCTGGTACTGTTACAGCACGGTGCTGCTCTGCCCTCCATCCTCAGCTTGTGCTGAGTTCAGAGAATCATGGAATAGCCAGGTTTCCGGGTTAACTTAGGCCCTTCTTTGGGTCTGTTTTGAAACAAGCAGGATTGTTTTCCTTTCCCTTCACCCCTCCATTGTATTGGCAATGATGGGCATCAGCAGCTACCAGCCTGAATCCCTCCTGAACAGATAGGTCTACCACAGCCCACTGAGCTGCAGTCAGTCTCATGCATTGCCACATCAGAGCATCATACATACCAGCTGTAACTAGCCATATTTTCATGGCTTGCACAGCTTTGGGCCTCCACATCTGCATGCAGTCTCCCTCAGCCCACACATTGAGCCCTGCAGCTCCTGACTCATGTTGCAGGACCCTATTTGCCCATATTTTTGGAGGGGATACGTTGTATTGATTGGCACCCGTCAGGGTTAGTTCTGGCCCTGCAGCAGTCCAACTTGTTTTCAGTTCCAGCCATGGGCTGGTCTTGGTCTCCTCTGAGGGAGCTGGCTGCATTCCTCTTTTCCTTCCTCCTCCCCTAAAAGCACCCAACCCATCAAGTGCAGCAGAGCCAAGCACTGCAAGTACAAGGACAGCTTCGCAGGGGCATGTTCTTTCCTTACATCTTGTACAGGCACAGAACAAAATGGGCTTTGAGCTTCCTCTGCTGCTTCCTATTAAGCAGCAGTGGAACTTTAAATGCCCAATCCTTCTGCTCTGACTTTCCTCTGTATCATCAGAGAATATTCAACAATATAGATATAGAATAGCATGGCAGAGACTTGCCCATGGTCAATGGGAATTGCCTTTCTGTTTATTCCACACAAATTCTACTCATTCTCTGTCCTGAGAAATGCATCCCGGCACTGATAGAAACCCTTTAATACAAAACCCAGAGGCTCCCAACTCCTTGCAGAAGTGGGACAAAATCTGCCAAGTGAAATCCTATGGTAGCAAATCCCATCCTCAGAGTTCTTCCCTATCTGACAAGGACAACATATTTTTCCTGACTTTGGATCTGGACGCTGGTTTACCTTTAGATATACAAGCAAGATGCACCAGGGAGGTCCTTCAGAAGTTTCCCAGCAATGTCCCTGCAGCATCAGGAATGTTACCCAGAAGGTTATGGAGTTCCCTCTTTGGAGACTGCCAAAAGCCACCTGGGCACATAGGCCTGGACACTCTGCTCTGGGTGTTCCTGCTTCAGCAGGATGCACCCAAAGGTCCCTTGCCCACATTGCAATTTTGTGCTTTGGGTGGATGCAATGCTACTGTTGCACACTGATACTAATTCCAGTGATTAACATTGTTTGTTTCTTCAAACAAGGAACTCCAACTTTTGTCAATATCTCCTTAACAGTGCAAGCTCACAGCTGCTTCATCTGAAATAGGAGGTAAATGGGATTGAGATGCGTGCAAGTGTGTGTGTTTGTGGTGCTCACGCTACAGGGAGGAAGTGCATCTTAGTGCAAATTAGGGGAAGTGGAGGAAAAACAACACAAAGAAAATGCTCCATTGAACAGGACTTGAATTGGTATAGTGGCTGCCGGTTTGACTAACTTATGGTATCACTAAATCCCATTCTCCACGCAGGGAAAGAAGCCCTGCAACTGTGCATTGTCAGCGTGACGGAAGAAACAAGGGCAGCTGATGCTGGCTGGGGCAGTGTTGCTCCCAATCCCACAGACAGACTATTGTTCAGCGCGGTGACAAAGGGCTCCCTTCTTCCCTCTACCTCACTCACTTGCTCATGGACGCATTGGAACAGTGCATCTTTTAGGACTGCATCAGTTACGGGTAGAATGCTTTGGCTGACTGCCCCCATTGCCCCATGGGGAGGGGCACACACGGTGGTTACTCTCAGAACAATCTAAACCCATCTCTTGAGCACTGCTTTCTCACCTCTCCCCACAGGTGAATGTTGCTGGAATGGGAGGTGGTTAACAGGGTGACCTCTTCCTCTGCTCACACGGAAGAAAAGACTCAGAAACATCTGATAAGTGGCAAGTTGTCCCTGCTGGGGTCCTTCCAGTCTGTTGTGCACACTTTACCAAGAAGACCCTATCTCTCAGTTTGTGATCTCTGGCAAGTGGCAGTGTCCACATCTGGCCAGGGAAGAGAAAACAGGGAAATAATTTTTTAACCAGTGAGAACAGCAAAAATCAACACAGTGGGTAACCAACAGCACAGGTGTCACAGCCACCTCAATTGTTCTGGGCCATGCAAAGTGCTCAGCGTGAACACTGGTGACCATGTCTGCACTCAGATGACTTTTTGCAGGAGGAGGTGACAACCCTGCCTATGATAAGGGGGCTGGAACTGGATGGGCTTTAAGGTCCCTTCCAACCCAGGCCATTCTCTGATTCTACAATTCTATGATTCAGCTTACACCTCTGACAGATGCCTGTTCTGAAACAAGACCAAGTATCTCACTGGAAGTTGTGTCTCTGGGCTGCATTCATACACAGCAGCTCAGCTACAGGCAGTGGCCTTCCTCACATGAAATACGATCATTTTGGATGGAGGTTAAACAGGTGGAGCTGACTAAATCATTCAAAACAGGGTGCACATGAGTAATACTCTCCTCCTCTCCCCTTATACTTTCTCAGGAGCTATCTTTTCCCCTTTGGGCTGTGCCTGAGGCCAGGCAGGATGGCTCATGTGAAGCCTTGGCAGCATTGGCACACACATGTGAGAACAGACCTGCCTTTGTCCTGAGACCTCCACAAGCAGTCCAGGAGCACAGCTCAGCCTCTCCTCCAGGGCTGGGGTCCTGGATCTCTGATTTTTTTTAGACCAAGGTATGGTGGATAGCTGCACATGTATGCAGGGTAAGAAAAATGAAAAGATGAAAGATGCCTTGTGGTCTTGCTAAGCCATATGTGTTTATTTCCCTTACCTCTTGGGCTACTGCCAAGAGCCCCATGAAGAGCTGTGCTAACATGTCCACATGTATTGAAGAGAGCACAGCTGTCAAGGTTGTGCCAAATGTGTGTTTTGGGGAAATCACCAAAGAATTTTCTCCTTCTTTGCATCCAGATCTCAGGAATAACGAGACTGTGACTTGCATTCTATAGCTCAGGCTAAGCTGGCCAAAACCACTTATCCTTGAATCTATGGCACTTGGGCATGCTGACATTCTGCAGCTGGAATTTAGAGTTGCCTACAGCTAACTTTACCCACAGCAGAACCAAGGGACAGCTTATTCAGTATTGTTCAAGAGAGAAAGTTTGGCTCCAGAGCTATTTTTTATGGCACACATTTGCGAACAACTTAGCAGCTGTCTCCACAGCATTAGTGTTAAAATCACCCTTTAGTATCTGCCCTCTGTTTTAAGTAGGCAATGCAGATACGTTCTCATGCCAGTACTCTTCAGTCTTTCAGTTCAAATAGCAGTTGTTTCCCTGGGATTTACCCATCTGATGTATTAATAGGCAGCGATCATATGCCCTTTTAACACTCATCTTGCCATGCTAAAAAGAAAAACCCAAACTGGCTAGGCTCCTACTATCAGCTCTCACTTTTTTCCAGATCACTCTAGTGCCAGTCTTTGCACTTGGTAAATATTTCTCACTCCATTTCCTGTTCTGCTGGAAGGTATATCTGCCCTCCTTGCTACTGCAGCACCTCTCTCTTGTGTCTCTTCAGCAACAACTACATTTTTTTCTCCAAGGTCATTATTGAAGATATGAAGTTGGCTGGTCCCAAAATCAGTCCCTAAGGAATTTCATTAGCAATTGCCCACTGCTTTATGTGCCAGCTTCTCTTCATTCAGCAGTTCCTTATCCACTCTCTAGTTCAATTGTGAATCCCTGTACACCCCTGCTTTCACAATTTCCTTACCACTTTCTGTCAAATATAAGTACATTCCACATAACCAGTGTCTAAAAAGGAGCAGTTCTCTCCCCCAACACAGAAATAATCCAAAACATTGTACATTTCCTATAACCATGTTAAATGTTGTCCTACTGTCACTTCAATATGTTTATTTGTTCTTGACATTCTTCTTGGCCTCAGCTGTTCTGAGGTCTTGAGTTTGTAAATAATCACATCCTTGTTTTGTCCCATTATTTTGGTAAAATAGTTGGCACTATGCAACTGTGTAGTGCTTCTCCACACCTCAGTTATACAGGATAATTGAACATCTTTGCCATTGGACTTACTACTCAATGTGCCATTTTTTCAGGTCTCTGGGAACCTCATGATCTGAATAAACCTTGCAAGTTTTTCCTTGACTTTGCTTCTATTTCCAGGTGTTTTGTCTTGCAATCCCCTTCTTCTACACATTTTTTCTTATAAACTGAGCCCAAACTGGATTTATGAGGTCTATCTTGATCTTGCTCTGACTGCACAGAAGTCTGATCTCTTTCCTTGATCATTCTTACTTTTACAAACAACTTCTTTGGGCTACTTAGGACTTCCTCAGCAAGGTCTGTCTCACCTTCATATCTGCCAGTTGATGTGTCCTCTTGCCTAAGCTGTGTGACCTCTGCAATATAGGGTTTTTTTGCTGAATGCTCCCATCCTTTACTGAGCAAGTTTTGTCATGAGAGAGAGGCACCTTTTCTAAACACTCTCCATACATTTTCTTGCTCAGGAAACCAAGCTAGCTTCTGCAGTGTTAAGTATGAACATCTTTCACATACAAATACTTGAGACTTTTAGCTCAAATGTCTACATCACCTCCATCCATAACTTCTGTGATGATTCCCATTTTTTGGTTGAAAAAAAAATTCACTGTGGCCCCATGAGATTGACTCTTCCATTTAATTTAAACAGAATCAGCCTGTGCCCAGTCAAGGTTAAAAGTTATCTCCTGCCACATTGTTCTGTAATGTCTCACTTGTTACCAGGAGCACAACAGCAGCTCTGATTAGTTTACTGCCTCTTTATGAGGAAATGTGTCAGCCGATGCATCCGGGAATACCTGAACCCAGCCAGAGCTAGTAGCAATTATTCTCCAGATAGTAAGATAAAACCTGTAGTAATGACAATTTCTGGTAGTGCAGATCTTTCTTAAAACATGAGAGACCTTCATCAACTTCCTGAGCCAACCTTGGGTAAATGCAGCAGAATTCCAGTCATCTTTCCTGAAGGTAATACGAGGCAGATGCTGTTTTATCAGCTCTACTGCTTCTTGTTCCTTCATGGTCAAAAACATCATGAGCAGACAGTACTACCACACAGACCACTTGCCCTTGCTCTTCTTCCAGACCCCTTTTGTGACATGGTGATGATTTTACAGAGTCCCCAGTCACACAGACTTATCTTTCCAGGTACTCCTTGGGTCTCTGGCTCCATTTTGCCCTTTTGCAGCCCCTCCTGCAGCATGTCCTCCTTGTCAGGTTCCTGGATGCCCTCCTCATGATTCTCTGAGTTCTGAATTTGACCTCTTCTCTTTCTTTTTTCTCTGTTGGGTCCAGTTTTTCCTTTTTATTTCCCAGAATTGCAGGAGTTGGAAGGGACCTCTGGAGATCATCTGGTCCAACCCCCTCCTTGATGCTTTTCCTTCCATTTCCAGCTTGTGAGCTTTTGTTGAACTTCAGATGATGTAGTAGCAGGAAAAGAGTTCTCTAACGTGTTTGATAAACTTTTCTCTGGTGACTGCTCAGAAGGTGTGGTAGGGATGACCCAAGCGTATCTATGCTTATGCTACAATGAGGGTACAGGGACTGGGATGAGGGAGCCTGCTCCGTGCTGCAGTGGGATTTCCACATATCCTGACAACCTAGAATGACGTAAAGGCATCCTTACTAGGCATGCACCAATAAGTGAAGCACAGCACCTCTTGAGCATCCTGAAGGAAAATACAGCTTTCAGAGCATGAGAGTGTATTGTTCCATGGAAAGTGCTGGCTGCAGCTATCTAAAGCAAAAACGTGAACTCATGAGAACAGCTGTGAGATTTCATCAGCCTTTGTAAGCCTTTCATAAGCCTTGTTGAGTCTCCCAGCTCCAAAGTGTCTGCTGACTTAAGACAGCAAGGGCAGGCCACAGTAGCACAGAGTCAGAACGTGCAACTGTTTTTACCTGTAGACAGTAATTCTAATTGCAGTTATGGCTGGGAATCTCATTTCCTTAGGAGGAAGACAGCTGCCGTAGCTTTGCACAGTGTGGTTGACAGAGGTCAAGTAACTCTCTTGTTGTGCAATGCATCTGTTCCTAGCCAAGTATCAGATGGAGGCAGATGGGATGGATGAGTCTCCAGCACCCTACTCCAGATGTCAAACCTCCCGCTCCTTTCTGCCAACGCTTGAACCACATTCCTCCCTGCAACTTCCTTGTCTCTTTCCCTTGGGTACCAGGTTTTCCATCACCATTCTGCTGGGCAGCGTCATTCACATGGAGCATTTCCTCCGTTACGTTTCTGTCCTAGAGGTGATGTCCCGGCACAGCAAAGCCTGTTGGCAGCATCATGGGACAGCCTCTCATTGCTTCCCGATGGCCTTGCTCAAGGTCACACCGCGTGGCAGCGACAAGAATAGAGCTTGTGAATGCCACCTTCTTATCCTTTTGTCCCAAGGCCAAGCACCTGGGACAAAGTTATATCCGGCCAAGTGTGACAGCAATGCCTGGGTGTGATTGTGGAGCTCAGGAACAGGTTACCGCCAGTGCAGCAACCCCAGCAGTGCACACAATAGGCAGCGAGAGGTGCCAGCTCCGGAGGCTGGGGACCTGGGGACACGTTGTGCTGGAAATGCTGAGGCCCCATTCAGCTGCACCAGCACTCTCTTGCTGCAGGACTGCCAGTTCCTCCCCGGGAAAGCAGCAACGCCC